CATTCAATTTACTAAGTTGTCACTACAGTGACAAATTGGTGCAAATGCGACTAAAATCGAGGCTATTCTAGTACGATTGTAGAGGTGGAAAGAGAAGTTGAGTGTAATTCTTAGTTATGGCTAAGATATTTAATTAGGATGTTTTCTTTTTTATTCATGACATCAACTTCCAAAAAACTAGCACTGAAATACATGAAAATTGCAACAAAATATTATGCAAGTAAAGTGTTTATACACTTTTATTTTATATTTCCATTTGCTTGCACACTGTTTCAACGTTCATATTTAACTACTTCATTTTTAATACATTTCAGTCAGTTGGTAGATACAGAATATAAACATATTAAAATGGAGGGGTTTATAGACAGCATTTTCCCATTAAGAACTGTCAACAAAATCCTTGAAAATGAAACGAGCTGACAACTATATTCGGAGCAGATGCGTAAAGTACCCTTATAACACATTGCACCATCAATTATTTGTCAAGTATGCCGCCAAATATTAAGTGTTCTGACCTTTGTTATTAATAATAGAGGTAGACACTGGGGACGTGAAAGACAAATACTGTAATGCATGGAAAATCTATTAAAGATTTGACTTTGTTAATGGATATAGAGCCTGTTTCATATCCTGCCGCTCCCCTTGCAAGCAATAATTTCATGAGAAGCTGGACATACCATGTAATGGAAAGCCACATTGTGAAAAACATACTTTGATATAATATAATGTTCCTAAGTTAAGTAAATCACAGTGAGAGACTGCTTGTCATCAGTCTTTACAGCTTTATTTATATGTATATTTGTCTTTTCCCATGTTCTTCACAAAATAATGTGGCAGAACTGAAATGAAACAAACTTGTCTTTATTATATTCATTCTTGTATTTTTAAGTTGTTATTTTGCTTAATATCGTCTGTCATCTTGTAGAGATTGGCTGGTCAAAGATGTAATCAACAGCTTTCTCCAGAATATAGCTTCTAGCATTTTTAGGTAACAACAGTGATGATATGTAAAAATGACAAAACCAGTAGAATAGCCAACCAAAAGACAAAGATAAACACTTGTTAAGGGAAGTAGTGGTGTTTAAAAAAAAGAAAAAGGTACAAAAATCAACCTCTTAACCAACTTAAAAGATCAAAGAAAATAGAAACTGTGGGACAGAGAAAACTCCTTTCTCTACAGTCACTGATGGCACTATTTTCTGCTTCTTCCTCAATATAGAATATAGATCCTAGAATGTCTTGCCAGTAAAATGTTAAGCAGTTGATCCGAGATTTCATGTGGCGTGCACTGCAACTGATTATATAATATTGACTGTTTACATTTATGAAAAACCTTACTTTAGTCCTAGAACAGTTGTAGGATTTCTTTTATCACAAGATTTGTTAACATTATACTACTTTCAGACAATAGAACATTTTTTAATTATTTTTTTTTAACATTTGGGAATAACTAACTTGGTGACAGTGACTGCATCTACAAACAATATTTCTGTCTGAACTTCACTAATCTAGGCTTGCATGAGATTAATGAAAAATTAGAGCTCCTCTGACGTAGTACGTTTTTGCTGATGTTACTTTCTTAGTGTCTTGTCATAAATTCTAAATAGGTGTTGAAGTCTGGATTTCCACTGCAAAACCATTTTGAGGTTGGGTTGTTTTGGTTTTTTTTTTTTCAGTGTCCTACACTAAAAGCCAATGCACAATTAAGAAAGAACAAAGAATTTGGTATAAAAAGTAGAGACTGAGACAATATATTTTTGTGAAATTAACCAAAATTTGGACAAAATAAAAAATGTTGCCAGACAACCATATTTACAGAAGCAGTTGCATTTTTCTCTTAAATATTTAGAAACTCTTTTTAACAATCCTTAGTGATTTTATGCTTTTACTGTATGCAGGATACACTCTTCTAATCAACCAGAACTTAAGATTTCATTTCATGTTCATGTCAACAATAAATTTTGACTATTGTTCAAAATTAAATCACTTCATAAGCTCCTTACACATATGTTCCTTTAAACAGTTTGACACAGATGAGAGTAATTTGCTGTAGTTAAAAAATACATAAACTTACAGTGAATATACCAGGAAGAGATCATTGATTATCTAATGATCTCTTCCAGATAGTACTGGAAACATTGAAAAAGCCACTTTTTTTTTTTTCTCCCCCCC